CAGGTCTTCACCACACTATTGTCTGTGTCCATGGGGATCACCTTATGTTTAAGGGAACCAACTTTAAGCCAGAACACAGTAGCACCAAATCAGGACTTAATCAAATTAGAATCTACAATTATTGGGTAGAGGCCCAGCAGAAATTATATCATCTTTTTAGTGAAAAAAGGAAACCTAAAGTAATGTTATAGTGTAAACAAAATTGGGGTGGGGGGAGCTTGAAAGAAACATTTTTAAAAAGCTAGTCTCTATTTTACAATAAAGATGTTAAAGAAGTCAAGCCGTCCTGCTTAGATTGAGACTTAGCTATGGTGAGAACAAAATATCTATTTCTGTTCATTGATATACAAATCAGAATGACTGACCAGTCTGGTTTCAATTACTAGATGCATTTTAAATACAGCAATATTTCCTGTCTTTAAATTAGTCTCCACCTCCACATGCTACTCTTGAGTTAGAGAGGGCTTCTTCCTAGTTACTGCAATTTAATATTTTACTTTACTGTCTCTTTAATCCTTCTCTGTGCTTTTTAATAAACCATTTTTCCAGGAATACCCAACTTTCCTATTTCTACTCCAAGCCCAGAAGATCCAGTTGCTGGAGATATAAAAGGTAAGTAACCTCTCTTCTGATTTAACTTCAGTGAAAATGTTATGCTCCCTAGTCTTTTTCTGCTTGCTGTGCACACTGCTGTGCCCAAATTCAGGGAGTGCAGCAGGTGCTTTGAGGTGTCTCCTATTTGGGCTCCTCACCCTTCCGCCCATCATTTTCTACATCAGCCTGTCTTTTGCAGTGGCACTACCTGATTAATGAAATGAAGCAGAGCTTGGATTGTAAATCACTAGCTTACTCAAAACGTTCAGTTGCAGTCAATGCCTGTTTTCTTTGGATTCTCTATAGAGAAACCCTGAGAAAGGAAAGGAGTGCAAGCAGTTGGTTTGGGAGGTGATCCCAGGAAACATCAATAAGGGAGCAATCAGGGAGTGAAAGGGGCCATTATGTAGATATATTAGCAAGCAAGGTCCTATTGCAGCACCTGGAGCTCCATCCCTCTGAGCATAGAATTTGCTCAGCTTATCCCAACTGAAGTGATAGCTTAAGTTACCTGCCACCAGTGGAGGGCTGCCGCTGGGGCATGAACTCTAGGGCACTTCCAGTTTGGCCTGCAGGAAGGCTGAGGAGCACCTGCAGCCAGAAAAATACCCTGGGTAGAGAATGGCAGGGGTTTGCAGGAAGCAGGTTTTGGTGTGGTGAGGTGTGGGTGCTCCACCTGCCAAATTACTCATTCTGCAAGTATTTTATGATCTACGATTATATACACAGTGACATCCTGGCTGCTGAGGACTTAGCATTCCCTCTTCTCTTAGAGCTTACATTCCAGTTGGGGAACTCATGCAATAACATATATAATATATAAACCACTAAACAAATAAAATCTATAATATGCTAGACTATGACGTGCAGGGTTGTGTCCTACACAACTACACAAGGTCACTACTTTTAAGGGGGAGTCATTCACACTGTGGGTATAAACTTACCCATATGAGATATTGCAGGCCCTTAGGTTAGCTTCTGGAGCTGTGGGCAGTTTCCTACATAAACCCCACAGTGATACAGGGATGCATACCTCAGAAGGGCACACCCACACCAACACTGCATGCACACAGCCCATGACCATCTGAGTCACCCACTAACTTTGCTTCTCACCTCCCAGGGATCCCAGAGAGAGAGGCTCGATGGCCACATGCTCTCTTTCTGGGGTGTAGGTAGTGAGAGGTGTGTGAGAGCACCTGTGCCCCTGGGTAGGCAGAGGAGGGGCACTTGTCACCAGACAAGAAGATGGCCTCTGGGGAGACCTTCTTGGCTAAGGAGTTAAGGTTCTGCAGCAATATGGTAGCTCAAGGTATGGGCTGGAGGCAGCTTTGGTCATGAGTGTTGTGGGAAAAAATGAGACAGAGAAGTTAGGGAATGTGAGGTTTGCAAATTGAAGTAGGATAGTCAGAGAAGGGCTCACTGAAAAGATACTAAGCAGGGCCCTGAGTGGGTGGAGTGAGCTCTGCAGGTGTCTGGGAAGAATCGTCTAGACACAGGAGAGAGCAAGTGCAAAGTCACTGGGGCAGGGCATGCTGGGGATGTTCACTGAACAAAAGGGAGACCAGATGTGTGAAAGCTGAGTGAGCAAAGGGCAGATGGATAAGGAAGGGGAGCTCCAGGGACCAGATAGTAGGCCCTTGTCAGCCACTGCAAAGACTTAACCTCCTCCTCTGAATGAGATGGGAGCCATGGAGAGCTTTGCACTGAGAAGTGACATTGCATGAGCATCTTTGTGGCTGTCGTGTTGAAAACCACTTGTAGGGAGAGAGGAGAAGCAGGGAGATGTCATGAGAAGCTATTGTGATAATCCGTGAGGAAGAGATGATGGTGACTCAGACCCAGGAGGTCTCAGTGGAGGTGACAAGAATTGGACAGATTGCGGATATAATCTGATGATAGAACCAACAAGACTTGCTGGGGGATTGCTGGACCAGAGGTGGGATATGAGAGAAAGAGAGGACACCAAATGTAGCAAACAAGGAAAATGTTGCCATTTATTGAAAGGCTGTAAGAGAAAGTGGTGTGCATGGGCTGGGGGAGAGGCGGCCGGATGAGGTGGTGGGAGCTTGTGGATGCTCTCTTCTGGTGGTTCCTTTTTTATTCTGTGAAATAAGAATCAAGGTCAGAGGCAGAAAGTGAGGATGGGGAGGAGGCCTTGGAGCTGAGGAGAGAAGGTGTGAAAGAGCCATCCTAGAATGTGGGAGAGGGAATGGGCTTGCGGAATGTCTTAGGATTTGGGCCAGCACAAAGGGATCCCCTGAGGTCAGCTATAGCGTGATCCAGTTTACTGTCCTATGCTCTTTCCTACTTCCTCTGCTCAAACCACCGCACCATGTGCTGTTATGTGGGGTTCTGTCTTACATTTTTGTCAGATACTTGGTGACTTGGGGATATCAGCTCTGCTTGACTTGGTTTCTAATTCCCACAGGACCTACCACAGCATCCCACCCATAGTGGGTATAATCAAGTGCTTCCTTAAATGTTTGTTAATTGACTAGAATGGAACTCAGCTTTTGAGCTTTGATTACAACACACATCTCTGGTCTTCTGCCACAAGAATGTCTTAGATCTCCCACTTACTGTCTGTTTATAGTAATCCCTTTGTTATTCAATTCCTTTTTCTCCCCAAGTAGACTGGTGGTGACTTCAGGAAAAGAAATTTAATTGAACTTGAAGGGAAGTTCAGACGTCTGTTACAAAATATTAGGGAAGCCTTAGAACACAGCCTCAAGGAAAGAAGTTTAATTAGTGCAGTTAGATTTATTTGGGAATTTGAATGCACAGATATCCATTTCAATTTGGTCTTTGATTCATGCATTTTGAAAACACCCAATTTGGGGCATAACTCATGGCAATGAACATGAGAAGCACAAACATCTCAACAGCCAGAAGGAACCAGACAGCCTGGTTAGGAGGCTGTCAAAATAAAAGGCAAACAAGGATGGAACCCTGGAAGGAGAGGAGGATTTCGAGGACTGTCCTGAGATGTAATCGCCATGACTTGGTGATAAGGTCTGGGAGGTGAAGCTGAGGGACCCCGGAGGTTTCTGCCTCTGGCCCTGTGTGGGACTACTTGCTAGATAAGGAAGGGGAAATGTTGAACAGTGGATTTCAGAAACAGAATTTTTTAAATGCATGGGTACTAACTGTTCTCTTTCTGTTTACAAATGGTTGCAAATCAGGATTCCTTGGACCTCAATGCCAATGTGAAGTTGAAGTTTCTCACTGAATTCTAATGTCTGGCTTAATTCCAAGACTGTGTTCGACAGTAATATTCCCCTTTCCCTTTCCCTGCCGCGTTCTGTGCCTACAGGGCCATGGCACTGGGACCTTGTATGGAACTTTGATAAATGGTCAGGGCAGTGCTCATGCCAGCCTGGGTGCCAAGGCTTCTCTTGTGATGAATGTGCCCTTGGACATGCCTAGTGCTCTTTTGTCAAAGTAGGCGACTGCTTGATTTAAATATGAACAAGTTAGAGGTTATGCAAAGACTGTGAAGATGCTCTGATTTATCCCGGTATTTTTTCTTAATTATTGTATTAGAAAAAAAAATTCCACAACATTGTTATTAACCTTTTATCTGAAAGGTTAAGGGGTTAAGGCAAATCCGAAAGATTGGGGTTTGGCTGAATTTTTAAAATTATCTATTATTTTAACCCTTGTAGAAAATATTTTCAAACTGCATGAGACATCCCTTCCTTGATGACGAGGGTCATCAAAACTTTGAGTCTCTCAGGATCTCCCTTATGGAACCATGTTGCAGATTTAGATGCTGAAGTTCTTGATAGAAATGTAGATGGTTTAAATATGAGATGGATTTGAATATGTAAACTAGTCTAGGACGTACCTTGGACGTGGCTTTTAAAACCAGTTATCAGCTTGTATTTTCAGCATGGGGTTTAGAATCAAACAGACCTAGGTTCAAATCATGGCTCTACTTTTCTGGCTGTGTGACCTTTGGCAAGTTAATTAACCTTTCTGAGCATCTTTTTTCTCAACTATAGAATGTTCACCTATCTTACAGGGCTCTTGCTTGACTTCATTTTTTTTATCCATTTATACTGAAATCAAGCAGGAGCCCTGTCTTTCTGAGAAACATTTATTTATTGAGAAATACTATATGGTGGCACTGGGGGCCTAAGGTTACCTCTCACTAAGTGGTCAGTCTTATAAGTGTTTCACTCATCTTTAGTTGTGTAATAAATCACCCCAAAACTTAGTGGCTTAAAGCAACAAGGGTTATTTCTCACAATTTTGTGGGCCAGCTGGGCAGTCTTTCTGCTGGACTTGCTGGAGGGTGTGCAGGGGACAGCTGGGCATCTCTCCCACATGGCCTTTCTCTTTGAGGAGGCCAGGCTGGGTACTTCCCGTGGCTGTCTCAGGGTTCCCAGAGGGTGAGAACAGAAACCACAGAGCCTGCTGTGTCAGAAATCCTACGCCAGCACGTTCACTTCATTCCATTGGTCAAAGCAAGTCATGAGGCCCATAGTGATTTCAGTATAGGATCATGAAAGACAAACAGCTAAGGTAGAGGAGAGGAGAGGAGCTTGCACAGATCGGCGGGGAAGACCTTCCTAGGNCACAGATTGGCGGGGAAGACCTTCCTAGGAGTTGACTCTGAGCTGAGAAGGAACCAAGGGAAGGGGCATTCAGGCAGAAGAAGGTCCCGAGGCAGGAACGCACTTGTTCACGGGCATGAAGGCGGCCTGACTGCTGGGCGGCCTCGCTGGAGGAATAAGTGAGACTGTCCGGTGAAGCCCCCCAAAGCCACATATGGCATGAAGTTGAGCTGAATTTACATTTGTTCCTTTTCTTCTAAAAAATGGAAGGGAGAAATATGTTTAATTCAAGATTGTCATTCAAAGGGAATCTATTAAATTGAAGTTTTACGGCACAAAGCTCAGATTTGAGGGGAAAAAGTGTTTTCACAGGAGTAGACATTAAAAGATTGTCTAGCCCGGCCAGGAGTGGCTCAGTGGTTGAGCATCGACCTAGGATCCAGGAGATCGGGGTTCGATTCCCGGTCGGGGCACATGCCCAGGTTGCGGGCTCGATCCCTGGTGNTGATGAGGGGAGTGCAGGAGGCAGCCGATCAATGACAACTTTCTCATCATTGATGTTTTTATCCCTCTTTCTCCCTCTCCTTNTGGTGAGGGGAGTGCAGGAGGCAGCTGATCAGTGACAACTTTCTCATCATTGATGTTTTTATCCCTCTTTCTCCCTCTCCTTTCCTCTCTCTGAAATCAATAAAGACATATTTTTTTATAAAAGCAAAGATTCTCTAAAAGATGTTTTGCAAACTGATGCCCACCTGAATGTTCCTTGGTGGCATCTCTGACTTCCCTGAGTATTTGTTTTGTTTCCCTTTAAGATGTAGTCTTCGGGGTTCCAAATGTCTATAAACCGTGGGTAACTCATAATCTGTTTTCATGACGGAAACCTGGGGGAAGGGAGAAACTGACAAAGGAATGGAAGAGGGAGCCCCCTCTGAAAGTCTCTTCTCCTTCACAGGGTGTGACTGTAACTTGGAAGGAGTTCTCCCCGAAATATGTGATGCCCAAGGAAGGTGCCTGTGCCGCCCTGGGGTTGAGGGCCCTCGGTGTGATGCCTGCCGCTCAGGGTTCTACTCATTCCCCATTTGCCCAGGTGAGTAGGCCACACAGCATGGTGATTGGCAGTCCCCCAAGATAAATCTCCTCCTGAGGAAATGCAGAGGCTATTTCTGGCAGAGATGTGTGGCCTGCAGTTTATTAATAAGCCCCTGACTTATAAATGTGCATTACGTGGGACTGTCTCCTCCCTGGGCAATGCCACCTCTCTTCTGTCTTTCCAACCCTACCCTTCCTCACCACGGGTGGTCAAGCACATGGGCACATGGGCTTTGGGGTCAGCTGCCTGTGTGCGTGCCCATCCTGGCCCTGGAGAGAAGGTGGTAACTGAGCAGTGTTTAGGAGCCTAGCAGGTAGGTAAGGGGCGGAGGCAGGGCATTCCTGGGAAAGGGACCAGCATACACAAATCCACAACCTCCTCCCTCCCCACTGTTGTGTGCCCTAGTATCCTGTCCTGGTAAGAGTCACTGAAGGGGATGGAGGGTAGGAGTAGGAGGTGGCTGGCCCTGTTCCTAGAGCGTAAGAGGCGTGCCCTAAATGGTGGGTGAGTGAGCAAATGCATGAATGAATTTGCCCAAGTCCTGTTCCTTCGCCTCCTCCCCACTGCCTGCCACTGTTCACCCCCAGTGGTTGATGGAGGGAAAGGAAGGAGAAAGAAGAGAATACTATCAGTTGGGACAGGAACTTAACCTCTCCAGGTTATTATAAACAGGCAGGGACCGGCTGTAGGTAACTAGGTGCTAAACCATCTCTTAACACTCAGGAAGCCAGGCCGGGCGCAGCTGTAGAAATGCTGGACAGGCCACAGGGAGGCAGCCTCCACCTTACTTTCCTCACTGTCTGATCTTCAGAGCGCTTCTTATTAGCAAAACCCAGTTGGCACCCAGACATCCAGAACCCAGCTCTGGGAGACTCTGGAAAGTGCTGTTTCTAGTTTCCCAGCCTCCGAACACAGGAGGCAGTTAGCATTGCTATTGAACAAGTTTATTCACAAGCTCAGCCGCAATAAGGAACCCTGTGTATGGGACAGGAGCAGGAAACACCCTCCCTAAGCTGGAGCGCAAAGTGGCCGAGAGCAAGATTTACACTGGCCATCAACTCGGGCAACTTTCTTAATCCCTTTGTGCCTCAGTTTGCAAACAGTGCCCGCCCTGTAATGTGTTGTGCAGGGTACATCCGCACTGGCATGCGAAGTTCCTAGAGCCGGGAAGCACTCACTCGTATGGTAGCTATTATTCCTTAATCCCCCCTCTTCTCTCCATATTTCCCCTCCATCATTTTAAGAGCCCCAATCCCAGTTGATCTCTCTGTTTGCATAGATGTCTACGTGCCATATCCCAAGCTCCCTCCTTTTCCTCCTGGCCCCCAGCACACCTCTAGCCTCTCAGCCTTTGTCTTCCTGGGGCCACAGAAGCTCTCAGCAGTACCTGTGCCTAGATTTGGTCACCTAGCAGGTGGGAGGGTAAGGATAGGAAGGGCGTATCTTTTCTTTCTCTTCTTTGACTTCAACCAGGGAAATTCAGTGTTAGAAGTTGAAATGCCTAATGCATTTCCCATGGAAACATTGTACAGGTGATGCTTAAATGTGGTATATCCATACTATGGAATGTTATTTAGCAAAAGAAAGTATTGATATGTGCTACAACGTGGATGAAACTTGAAAATGTTATGCTAAGTGAAATAAACCAGTCACAAAAGACCATTTATTGTATGGTTCCAATTATATGAAATGTCAAAAATAGGCAAATTCATGGATGGATTTGTGGTTGCATAGGGCTAGGATGGTGGTGGAGGTGGCAGAGACGGGGCAATAGGGATTGACTGTGAGTATGGGATTTCTTTTAGGGGAGACAAGAATCTTTTCAAAATTAGATTGTGCTGATAGTTACACAACCCTGTGAGTATATTTTTTGAGAAACATTGAATTGTACATTTTAAATGAATGAGTTGTATGGTATAAAAATATCTCAATAAACCTGTTTTTAAAAAAAGATAATGCGAAAGGGGGGAAAATACAACACATTAAAGTAGGGTGTTTCCTCTCTAGATGCATCAGCCTATCTCTCTGCAAATTTGACGCCCATCTGTCTCTCCTAGTACCTTTAACAGCAGTGAGAAAACAATATGCATTAGAATTTTAGAGTTAAAGTAATTGAAATTACTTATTTTACAGCAACTGTTCTGAGACTCAGGAGACTAAGTAAAAGCTAGATAGTTGCAGGGTGACGAGTAATTCTCATGTTTCTCATGTTTCTTGATGCCCAACCTGGTTTAGTGCAAGAATTATGTTCTCTTCCTTAAACACCTTCACACATCAAAAAGCAAGAGGACTTGCCTCCACACCAAGTTTTACAAACTTCAGGTCACTGTTCGTTATTGGATGGAGAAATACATTTAGTGGGTATAGACCAGCATTGAAGTGAAATAGAACAGACTGGAAATTATTAGAATGCAACACAAGTTGTAATGGAAAGAAGTGTTTTGTGAAGTTCTTGTTTATAGTTTTTATAAATAATTATGAATCCCCTGTGTGTGTGTGTGTGTGTGTGTGTGTGTGTGTGTGTGTGTGTGTTAATTGGGTTGCAGTGTAAAATTTATTTCTTAGTGTGGATGTGGCTAAAAATGTTTGAAAGCTAATGTGTTAAATGATCCTGGAGGATTTTTTCTGTGACTCTGAGAAGTTTGTCACTTTTCTTTCATTCTGTTCTTTAGCCTTGTGGCTTTGACTGAATGATTACTCTCTTACCTAGGAGTGTGCTGAAAGCCCTAGAATTTATTAGAGGTATCATCAGGGTGCAGGGGGCAATCACCTACACTGAATAAGGTTGAAAAGGGCCCTAGGATTTAGTTTATAGCAAGAGTTTGTTCCGTTCACTGCATCTCCATATGGCTTAATTTCCCACGGTTTCCTTAAAGGGACACTATGATTCTAATTTGTTTCTAGGAACTGTGATCATTTTTAATGCTCTACCTACCTAAACACAGATTTCTTTAATAAACCCCAAGCTCTAACCATTTTTTTCAGAGAAAAAAATAATTGTTTGTAAATATATGCTATAATTCTTTGAACTGCTGAGTATTATTCCACCTAGCTGGGTATCTGGCTCACGTATCTGGAGCAAAAGTGAGAGCCAAGCAGTAAGATCCCCCAACCCCTATTGCCTTCGTAAAGTCAAAAATCACACCCAAAAATGTGTGCACTCAAATTCATGCATTTCACTTCTAAAAGAATCCCATAGGCCCTCTCTCAGACTGTTCCCTTTAAATAATAATAATAATAGTACTTTAAAAAATAATAATAATTGTACTAAGTTTAGATATTCTTTTTTTCCAAGCCAAACCATGGCAAATTAGAAACAGAAAATTAGAAGGGAGGGGAAGTCGCTAAGGCAAGACACTAATAGTAAGGAAGGAAATAGGAAAGCAGACATGAAACTTTGGAAGTGTAGCTGTCTGAGGCCATTTAACGTCAGGCAAATGATCCTACCCAACTCAAGAGGGTACTGAGGGGATCACTTTTAGAATAAGTAAGTGAGCACTGTAACGACAGCTCTGGGTCATAGGGAAATGGTTAAATTAAGTCTAAAGGCCTGTTTCAGAAGGAAGGAAACATTTTAGTAAGAGTGCTATTTAGTAAGAGTACTTTTTAAGAGAGAACATTTTGATGATTAAAGAGTCAGTTGGGACTCTATAGTTTCATGTGACAGAAAACCTGACCTAAACTGGCTTAAAGCAAAAGTAAATTATTGGATGTAATGCAACAGTCCAGGAATATTTGGTTTCAGGAACAGATTCATCTAGTGGCTCAAAGGATGGTGGCCAGTCTGGTTTTTCCCCCCATTTTTAACTCTGCTATCTTCTACATTGGCTTCATTCTTAGGCCCCAGGTGGGGGTAAGAAGGTAGTCAATAGTTCTCAGACATAGATTACTATGGAAGGAATCGTGCCTCCCTGAGTCACACAGTGACATCCTAATCCCCAATGTGAGTGCATTTGGAGTAAGGAAGAAATTAAGGTTAAATGAGCAGTGATTAGATAGGATTAGTGTCCTTACAATTAGTTATCCTTAGAAATAGCTTTTGTGCCCCTCCTCTCTCCTATATCTCTATCTCTCTCTCTCTCCCCCATGTGAGGACATAGGAAAAAGCTAGCAAGAGAGTTCTCACCAGGAACTGAATTGGCCAATACCTTGTCTTGGATTTCTGAACCTCTCCAGCTGTGAGAAAATAAATGCCTGTTGTTGAAGCCACCCAGTCTGCTTGAGCAGACTAATACATTCATTCTTCCAGGTTCAAATCTAGGGAAAAAGAGTATGCATTCCTCTAGGGCAATTCTGGCTTGGATTGGATCACATGCCCCTTCCCCAACCAGACCCCAGGCCCTGGAATCCAGTGCTCTGACAGCCAAGCCTGAGTCTCCCCACATTTACAGACTGGAGAGTGGAGTTGACATTGTCTGAATAGTGTGGATGGAGTGCTTGGGAGAGTAGTTCCCCCACAGCAAAACCCAGATGCCATAACCAAAAAGGGGTGGCAAAACTGTGTGCAGTAAAATCCTCAGCAATCTGAAAAAATTTAGTTCCCCAAAGGGCCCAATCCTAGGAGAGATGAAAAAACCTCTGAGGTTTAACTGTAGAATTTGTCTTCCTAAGAAGATAACATCTGGCATGAGAAGCTCTTTAATCAGCTACTGTGCAAGGAGATTATGCAATATCCCTAGTGTTAAATGATTGGAGTCAGGATTTTAAAAATAACACTTTATCCCGGCCAGGTGTGGCTCAGTGGTTGAGCATTGACCTAGGATCCCGGAGATGGAGGTTTGATTCCCAGTCAGGGCACATGCCCCGGTTGAGGGCTCGATCCCCGGTTGAGGGCTTGATCCCCAGTCGGGGGCATGCAGGAGGCAGCCGATCAATGACTCTCTCATCATTGATGTTTCTATCTCTCTCTCTTTTAAATATATAAATAAAGATATATTTAAAATAAATAAATAAAAATAAAATAAATAAATAAATAAATAATAAGACTTTATCATCTCATTTATATTTTTGGTAGAGCTGGTTTGGATCTCTGCTTCCAAAGGTCTCCCAAAGCTATCCGACCTCACTGGCCAGCAGATGATGAGGAAGCATGAGAAGGAGAAACTGTGCTGACAGCCACCTAGGCATGTGCCCTGACCCTTCCAACCCTTGACCCTTTGATGTACTGGACAGCAGTCCAATTGAGCCACAACTGCCAGCGCACTTTTGTGATCTTTTAAAATTCTTTCCTTGGAGGGCGCCTCTAAGGCTAGTGGCTGAAGCTCAGACTCACTGAAATCTGAACTTGGTCTAACATCAAGGCCCAATCCAATATTTTAATTTATGATCTTTTTTAGATGAAATCGATTGCTTGGCCTATTGAAGTTTAGAATCAAATCAACATGACCCCCAAATGCTACATCAGATGGTTCAGTATATTCTAGCTAAAAAATGTTCTTTTGGCTTTATTCTGTATTGCTTTAAAGATTTTAAGACTCTAAGGAAAGAAATTTCTAAACCCTTCTAAATTGTTCTTGCCAACTGCATTCATGTTTTGCATTAATGTAATTTATTCCAGACTCCTCTTAGTACAATACCGTATTCTTCTCATTTTCACTCACTCAAGTGCTCTGTACTTTCTTGCAGGTGTAAATCAATATGAGAATTGCCTGTATGTATTTCTAATTTCTAATTATGTTGATGTCTGGCTCAGTTCTTGACAATCAACCACAGAGTACCACTGTGACTAAGTTAACTCGGTCATTCCGGGGGGGTTGGCTCTTCCCTTTTCCTCCTCCCACGTCTCCTTTCTCTCCCTTCCCCATCCCCCCTTCGCTGGTGCGATTTGCTAGAACAGAGGCTCAGAGGGTGGGAATGCGGGAACAATTGGCCCTCCCTTGACAAGGAACAGAAGGTGGGTGAAGTGCAGCTGCCCCCAAACCTCAACCACAGGGCCACATCGACCCCTGAGCCAGGGCCCAGAACTGTCCCCATTGGAGGTTGCTGTGGTCTTTGGGTTGTGGTTACAGGTGTTTTCATAGAAAACTCCTATAAATATGTTGCCAGTCCAATATTAACCTCCTTCTATCTGTCAGTATATTATCATGAATCAGACAAACTAGCCAAGAGAAGAGGCCGAATGCACCCCCCAAAGGTGAATGGAGCTGGAGGGAGGGAAGGTTTCTGGCTGGGTATGCTCCTGGGACAGCCTTCCCAGCCTTTCCAAGGAGGTAAATAGGACCCAGAGAGCTGGATGTGGAGGGAAGTCTGAAGCCAAATTCTGTGCTATTATAGCTTGAACTGGCCCTTCACTTTGTAATGCAGCTTTTGTCTAGGAGACATTTGAGGTGGTTGGTTGGAAGAAGCCTTAGGATTTTCTGTACATTGAATCTACCCTAAGCCCAGTTAACCAGAGAGATGGATGGTGGTATCATGGAACTTACTGTTGGCTTTGTGGCTTTGGCTGAAGGAGGTGCCTTCCTGCTTTTCCAACAGACGGACACACTCCAAAATCATGGGCAAAGAACATTCCTGAAACAATAAGGTGCTCTGTTTACCATATAATTTACTTATGGATGGAGAAGAGGGTGGTGTCACTCATAGCAATACCTGTCTCTTAGCAGTATCTCAAGAGTCAATGAGAGGACACATAGCAAGAACCTATATGGGCTGGACCAGTAGAAGGGTTTCAATCGTTGCTTATTCTTTCATTTAACAATATCTATTTGTCATGTACGAGGGACCAGGACTCTGTTCGATTCTGGAAGACATTGGGGAACACAGCAGACAAGCTGTCTGTCACCTTGGACCTTTTTATCATTATTTTTTACACTCTTTGGGAGTAAAAATATCTTAAAGCAAAAGCAATGAGCAGATGAGAAGTAAAATACTCCAGAAACTTCAAAGGACCTGGACCAAAACAAAGAGCAGAATTAAAGAATTTGTAAAGCCTTATAGTATTTCCAAGAGTGAGAAGAGGGCTGCCAATGTTGGGGTTTGGGGTTTGGCAGGCTTCACTGACAGTTGGAATGAAATAAGGAGGGTAATGCCAGATTGAGCAATTCACAATTTAAAACAAAGTTTCTGCGTTTAAGGCTGAGTCTTTGTTTTCATCTCTGGAGTGTAACTGCAACTCCTGTGGCCCTAGGAGTCAGTGTAGATGTCACTCACATTCTGACCAGAGCTGCCATCAATACGCTCCAGTTCCTATAGCTATTCTCTGCCTGCATGAGTGCTTTTCTCTCTGCATTCACTTTCCTTTAGGGCAAAAAGAGCCTGTATTAGTTGGGCTTCTCAAGAAAAACAGAACCAAAAGGCTGTGTGTGTGTATATACATATAGAGAGAGTTATTTTAAGGAATTAGCTTACAAGATTGTGGGGGCTGGCAAGTGCAAAACTGCAGGGCAGGCCACCTGGCTATAGATCCAGGGAAGAGTTGATGTTGCCACTTGAGTCCCAAGGCAGTTTGGAGGCAGAATTCCTTCTTCCTTTGGGACCTCAGTCTTTTCTCCCTAAGGCCTTCACCTGATTGGATGAGTCCTACCCACAATGTAGAGGGTAATCTGCTTTATTCAAGGTCAACTGATGTAAATGTTAATCACACCTTAAAAAACCAAAACACCTTCACAAGAACATCTAGACTGGTGTGGACTAAACACCTGAGCCCCATAGCTAGCCAATTTGATGCATAAAATTAACTATCACAGAGCTCAGGGACATTTCCTCAGATTGATCTCTGCAGACAGGCCTGGGGGAAACATGGAGCCATGAAAGAACACATGATATGATGGCAGCAGGAGATCTGAGTCCTTGTGCTGCGTCTGCCAAGAGCTGGCTGAGTGGCATTAGGCAGGTTTCTTCATCTCTTTTAGAGTTTCTTGGCAAGAGTGGGTGGGGGTTGATCCATACTATGTCAGTAATTCTCTAGCCCCTCTTCTGGATTTTTAGCTCCCTGAGGTTAAAGCATATGTGTTTTTCATATTTACCTCCACCCCAACACCTAGTCATGGCTAATGAACACAGTAGGCATTTAATCAAAGTCTGCTTAATGGATGAATATAAAATAGTGTGGCATGGTGGTAAGTTCTCCAGGTCTGCCATTACCTAACTGTGCCTCTCGGAACAAGTCACATAGCCCATTGAAGTCCCAGGTAATTTGTAAATGAGAAAACTGGCTAACTTCCCTTCCATCAAGGAGAGTTTATTTTAGGATTCCAGTGACAACATGGGCAAATGCTACCATTATCATTATCATGAAAAAGCACTATCAGAGTAACTCACCACAATGGGTCTGGGCCAAGCCCTGTCAAAGAGAATGGCAATGGCATGGTCTCATCCCTATGGGAGCTCTGCACTCCAAGGCTTGTTATGGAGCTTTACAGATGCTAAAGACACTTGAAATAAATCATCAGAATTGACACTTTATCTCATGAATCTTTTCTTTCCCAAGAACCTCAACAAGTGTGGAATCTTTGAAACCTTGCAACAGGTTACATATATATATATATTTTTTTACTACATGCACTGAATATAAATTTGAAAGTCAGGAATATAAATCCATTGATTCCCATTTATGCAGCGTGGAATCATGCATGTACCGAGCACCTTCCCCAGCACTGGGCACTTGGGTGATCACAGTAACGATGTTAACGAGAGTGGACACTTACTGAGCACTTCCTTTCTGCCAAGCATCATGCTCAGTGCTTTTCATGCCTTGTCACTGGGGATTCTCTAATGGCCTCATGAGACAGGTAGTGTCACCAGCTCCAGTTTACAGAAGAGAACACCGAGGCTTAGAGGCACCGAGCCACTTGCGCATGATTGTCAGCTAAGTGGCAGAGCTGGTACTTGAATCCAGATGTGTCTGCCCCAGAGACTGAAGCCCTGTGTTGCAGACTAGCATGTGACCTTGGAACTGTCACTTAATTTCTGAACTTTGTTATGTAATAATGGAATTCAACAGGACAATCTCTCTAGTTCCTTCCTGTTCTTAAGGTGAGAAACCCTCCAGCTCAGGAAACCAGTGGGCCATCTCCACTGCTCATCTCTGCAAAAGCAGGGGCCTTGCAGTGCATATGGGAGTGATGCTGAGTAACTGTAACCTGACGGAGGTTAGCTACACAGACTGGCAGGAACCTGGTCCAGTGGGAAAGGGAGCAGAGAGGGCAATGGCCAGTCTGTTCTCTCCATCCACATGTGTTTAATTTCCCTATTTGAGGTGGGAGAGAGGAAACTGGGATGCTTTTCCCATCCATTCCCAACTCTGCTTGCATAACTTTTTCCATGATTATTTAACAACACTAGACCTTGAGAAATCAGGTATGAAGAGAGGTTGACAGGGAAAAAAAGAGAGACAGTTGGAAGCTGATCTGGACTAAAATGGTTTACACTTGATCCCTGGTGGGGCGTGGGATTAATGTGCCCCCTTCAGTGAGTCACACTTCTCATTGGTTTTTTTCTGTCCTTCGACGACCACCAATTACTGTATACAAGAGGCACTTCCAAGCCCTCCTTCGTGGTCAGCCAACCTTGCCAAATAATGAAATTAACAACAGCAAAACCAAAACCAAAAAACATGAGCACTTATTGAGATACACACTGTCCCCAGCTCCTTTAAGTATTACCTTATTTAATGCTAGCAACAATCATATCAAGTAGGTACTAGTATTATTCCCACTTAAGGAAGAGGAAACTGAGGCTTTGGGACATTTGGCCAGATTCTTTCAGGTTCCAGGTCTAATAAAAGGTGGAGCNCCCCACCTAAGGAAGAGGAAACTGAGGCTTTGGGACATTTGGCCAGATTCTTTCAGGTTCCAGGTCTAATAAAAGGTGGAGCTGGGACTTGCATTTGGGTCTTCCGGCCCCACCCTGTGCTCTTATCCAGGTCCTGTTCCCCACCACCCTGGGTCTGACTGAGGTCTTCTTGTGCAGCCTGCCAGTGTTCAGCGCTTGGCTCCTACCCGACGCCCTGCAGCCCAGTGACTGGACAGTGTGAATGCCTGCCGGGGATTACAGGACAGCGGTGTGACAGGTGTCTCTCAGGAGCCTATGATTTCCCCCACTGCCAAGGTAAGGAAGACATCAGAATGTTGGGGGGGGGGAGATTCGTCTCTGAAGTGTCTGCAGCCAACCTCACAGAGCAGCCTGCAGATCCCCCACAAACCCCCCACTGATCACATTTATGTTTGACCTTAATCTGCCTGGTTCCTCCCCAATTTGAGTCCATTCTCTGAGGACTCCAAAAATGATTTATTCCTAAACTTAAAAAAAAAAAAAAAATTCCACATGTTTTAAATTTGTCTTTCTTGATTCCCATGTAAGTTCTATGCGTGGTGAAGATGACCTCTTTTAGCTAAGCCCAGTGTTTCTTTGCCCCTTTCCCAAGGCATCCTCGCTTCTCTTTGGATCCCGGCTGTGGCACTGATGTTGGCTGCTTCGT